GCAGAGACCACACCAGTGACTGGACCCCAGTCTCCCTACCGTAGTTGGGTCTTGGCCCAGCCGGGGTAGGTGAAGGCCTTAGGGCAAAGCTAGGAGCAGCGGGAATGGACGCCCTCCCATAAGCGTGCTGCCTTCTCAGACTGGAAAGCCGAGGCCCAGGACTAGAGCACCGACCTGTCCTCGGCTGGCCGGCCTCAGCCAGGAGCTGTCAGCGGAGTGGAACCATCTCAGGTTCCAAGCTTGGGGTCTAAGGGCTACATGTTCTTCCACCCAGCTACGCCATGGTCGGGAAAGAGCGCTGGACTCCAGCGCGGCCACGGCTGCAGTTGCCTGCGGAACAGCCCCTCGATCTGGGATCCCTGCCGAGACTTGGGGCGTCGGCGGGGTCCCTGAGACTGCGCGCAGCCTCATTTCTCACTCCAGGTAAGGTGCTGGCTGCACAGTCCAGGGAAAGGACGCCAGGAGCCCAAGGCAGCGCGGGGACAGCCCGGCCCCTGCTGGCCGAAGTGGCAAGTTGCAGCGCCGCTGCTCACGTGCTGATGGGAACTGATGCCTATCTGTTTCAAAGACCTCTTACCGCCAGCTTCAGTTTTCCCTTCAGTTGCAGGTGCTGGGCTCACGGCAGACCTGGGAGTGTTCGTACTGTAGGTGTCCCTCATGCCCATGCCAGAAGTTTCAGAACGCAAATGTCCGGTATGACCATGATTGGATGTTATACAGTATAGTGCTGGTTTGCTTATCTGATGGGTCTGGACTTCAGCTCTTCCTCATTTTTACCAGTTTACTAGACAAAAAACAACTGCACACTCCTCAACCCTTCTGGGGGTTGGAGGACCTAGCCAGAAAGGAGATGCTGGATCCTAGTTTCTCACCGAGTATACAGTAACTTTTGCCCCTGGGCTCAGTGTAGTTCTGCAGAGAGAGGAAGGAGAGGTTCATGGCCAAGAAGGCTATGGGAATTTGGCTGGTACCTTGTTTCAACTGCCTTCCCCAAGAGTTAAATGGCACATGGCTGTTCTCTTGCCTATTAGGATAGACTGGTGAAGAGTCGTGCTGGCTTTCCTAGTGTCTGGGGTAGCTCCCAGTCCTCTGGTTTCACACTCCCGCCTGGGTAGCCTATGGTGTATAAATGGGCTGGGCACTGCCTAACTTTGTGTATTCAAGGATAAGCCAGACAACTGGTTTTATAGAATAGAAAGAAGTGCCCACAGGATCAAGAATTCTGGTTGGGAAGGAAATGTCACATAAAAGAGACACCTTCAGAAAAATTTTGATTCTTAGCACTTGTCATCATAGAAGGCAAATGAGGTCAGAAAGGCATCGCTGCCAACCTTTTTCATGATGTTTAGAATGACTAGTATAAATTTCTGGCCGGGCGTGGTGGCTCATGCCTGTAATCCTAGCACTCTGGGAGGCCAAGGCGGGCGGATTGTTTGAACTCAGGAGTTCGAAACCAGCCTGAGCAAGAGCGAGACCCCGTCTCTACTAAAATAGAAAGAAATTAATCGGATAACTAAAAATATATAGAAAAAATTAGCCGGGCATGGTGGCGCATGCCTGTAGTCCCAGCTACTCGGGAGGCTGAGGCAGAAGGATTGCTTAAGCTCAGGAGTTTGAGGTTGCTGTGAGCTAGGATGACGCCACGGCCCTCTAGCCTGGGCAACACAGTGAGACTCAGTCTCAAAAAAAAAAAAAAAAGATAACAATTTCTGGTCTGGTGCGGTGGCTCGCACCAGTAATCCCAGCACTTTGGGAGGATGAGGTAGGAAGATAGCTTGAGCTCAGGAGTTAAAAACCAGCCTGGGCAACAAAGCAAGACCCCATCTTTATAAAAAATACAATTAGCTGAGTATGGTGGCACGCACCTATAGTCCCAGCTATTTGGGAGGCTGAGGCAGGAGGATCACCTGAGCCCAGGAGTTCAAGGCCGCAGTGAGCTATAATAGAGCCTGGGTGACAGAGTGAGATCCTGTCTCTTAAAAAAAAAAAATGACAATTACAGAGAAGTCCCCACCTGGGAGGAGTCCTTCACATCTTAAATCTAGCCTTTCTCCTTTCACAGCTTTCAGGATGCTTCTGCAACCAGAATTGCATGATGTAAGGTAGAGCAGTGAGGGAAATCACATGCTTGTGCCTAGACCATGCATTTTACGAAGAGGCAACGGCAGCCCAGAGAGAGAAAAGCAGCATGACCAAGGACAACAGATACTGGTTTTAATCATCCTTGAAGTGGGAGACTGGGGATGCTATGAGTCTGGAAATGTGGAGGATAAACTCCATCAGGCCTGAAGGAAAGGTCCAGGAAGCCCCTGGTGGACTCAGTACCATTTCATTACTGTTGCTAATTCCTGGGGTTTAAACACAGTGTCGGGAATGTCCATGGCTGGTCATAGGGATTTGTTCAATGAAAAAATGAGCTTAGTCAGACCTAACTTCTGACATTCCAATTCAGAACTTGGTAATACTTATCTCAATTCACAACTGGTTCCTGGTTGACACTCTGCATTTTATTTGTATATCCAAAAACAACCAGGTAACAAACAGTATTTATCACTGGCCATAACCTGTGATGGGACATTTGTCTTTAGAGAGGATGTGTAAAGGAAGCAAAATTTATACTTAACATGATACCTTATTAAATGACCCTAATTTCCTTCCGTATTGTAACACTTTTAATTCTGTTGTTATAAAATTAAGTGATTCGCTAAGATTACTGAGGATAAAATAAGGTAACTTTGATGGGACTAATTTCTAGCCTCCTGTTAGAACATACTAATGTAGAAAGCAAAATCCCAGTTTGGGCAACATAGCGAGACCCTGTCTCTACAAAAAAATCGTGCCACCAGCTATGGTGGCACACTCCCACCTACTCAGGAAGCTGAGGCAAGAGGATTGCTTGAGCCCAGGAGCTTGAGGCTACAGTAAGCTATGATCGCATCACTGCACTCCAGCCTGGGCAAAAGAGCGAGATCCTGTCTCTTAAAAAGAAAAAAAAAATCCTCCTGTAATGCTGAGACTGTGGATGATATGATCTTGACATTATCCTATAACTTTTTTTTAAATTTCAGAATATTATGGGGGTACAAATGTTTTGGTTACATAGATTGCTTTTGTACAGCTCCAGTCAAAGTTTAAATGTATCCATCACCCAGTTAGGTGTGATTTCACCTATCCCCTCCTCCCCACTCCCACCTGCTTGATTTCTGTGGAGTTTTACTTCCCCAAGTGTTCATGAGTGCTAATCAGTTAGTTCCAATTTAATAGTGAATACATGTGGTATTTGTTTCTCCATTCTTGTGATACTTCACTGGTCTCCAGTTTCATCCAAGTTGTTACAAAAGGTATTAATTCATTTTTAATGGCTTAGTAGTACTCCATGGCATATATATACCACATTTTATTAATTCACTCATGAATTGATGGGCACTTGGGTTGATTCCACATCTTTGCGATTGTATATTGTGCTGCAATAAAAATCCAAGTGCAAAGTGTCTTTTTTTGGTAAAATGGATTTTTTTCTTTTGGGTAAATACCCAGTAGTGGGATTGCTGCATCAAATGGTAGGTCTACTTTTAGTTCTTTGAGCAATCTCCATCCTGTTTTCCATACTAGAACTTCTAGAGTCATAGCAATACCACCACCAAAATCAAACCACATTTTTTGAGACAGAGTCTCTGTCGCCCTGTTTAGAGTGCAGTGGTATCGTCATAGCTTACTGCCACCTCAAACTCCTGGGCTCAAGTGATCCTCCTGCCTCAGCCTCCTGAGTAACTGGACTACAGGCACACACCACCATGCTTGGCTAATTTTTCTATTTTTTTCTTATAGAGACAGGGTCTCGCTCTTGCTCAGGCTGGTCTCAAACTCCTGATCTCTCGCCTCGGCAATCTTCCTACCTCAGACTCCCAGAGTGCTAGGATTACAGGTGCTAGCCACTGCGTCTGGCCACTTTTGAAAGACCAGTTTGGCTTTGAGAGCATTCAGCTACCAGTTTCTTGGGCCCTGGGTGGGTATTTCATGTTTCCATCACTTGGCCCTTTGGTACAGCCAAGTGTCTCTGTCTAAATGAGAGCAAGATAAAATGGAACATAGCTTTACTATAGAATGAGCTTCCTTTGGCCACGTGGAAAGAAATTATAGGTACAATGGGCTGGCACAGCATTCTTGCTAGTTCTGGTTATAGCCATGTTACACAGAAGGAAATGATATAAATAATACTGTTAGAAAGGAGATGTTTTCTGCTGGATTTCATTCGTGAGTTCATCTTCTTAGCAAGGGATATATTGGATACTCTTGCACATCATCCCAACAGTTCAAGTACCATGTTGTGATGGTTAATTTTATGTGTCAACTTTACTGGGCCATGAGGGGCCCAGATATTTGGTCAAACATTCTAGGTGTTTCTGTGAGGATGCTTTTGGATGAGACTAACATGTAAATTGGTCAACTGAGTAAAGCAGATTGCCCTCCCTAATGTGGGTGGGCCCCATCCAATCAGTTGAAGGCCTGAATAGAACAAAAAGGATGACCCTTCCCCAAGTAAGAGAGAAGTCTCCTTCCTGACTGCCTCTGATCTGGGCCATTGGCTTTTTTCCTGCCTTTGGACTCTACCTGAAACATCAGCTCCTCCTGGGTCTTGGCCTGCTGGTCTTTGGACAAGAACTACATCAGTTCTCCTGGATCTCAGGTCTTCGGACTTGGACTGGAACTAAACCATCAGCTCTTCTGGGTCTTTAGCTCGTAGATTCACCCTGCAGATCTTGGGACTTGCCTGCCTCCATAATTGTGTGACTCGATTCCTTATAATTTCTTTACACACACACACCCTATCGACTGACCGCTTCTTTGGAGAACTCTGACTAGTATACATGCTCAGGTCTCCTCCCTTATTTCCAAGGGCTCATACCCAATTCCCAACAGTGTATCTGCCAGGTGAGTGCTGTGATGGCCTGGAGCCCTGAAATGACAGGGTAAACATAACTGCACCAGAAAGTCAGACATGATTTGTCAGCCTTTATTAATCAAGAGTGAAGCCGAGTCCTAGAGTTTCCTTTTAAAAAAACCCAACCTTGTTTATGGCAAACAATGATTTAATTCTCAGTGACTTTAATTATATCTTTAAAACTACAGAGCAAGAATTGATCACTTTCCAATTACTTATTCATCTGAGATTAAAATACAAGTGTAAAATAGGTTAAAATAAGATTCACCCCAATGATTTAAAAAATAATTCCAATTGAGAGACATTTCAAACACTATGTGTAGAACTTAGGAACAAAAGAAGACCTTAAAACATTTTTACCTTTGAGGTAGCACAATAATGCTGAATTAGAGTTTTTATTACAATGAGCTTAAAAAAACAATGAGGAATCTACTCTTTGCACAAGGTGGGCTAAATGGTTTTATGCAAATCCCCCATGAGGTTAGTGACAGTTTTTTTTTTTTTTTTTTTTTTTTTAAGGTATAAAGATAGCCCTGCAGTATGTAAAGGAAACCCATGGGAAGACTGCTTCCCATAAAATAGACATTAGAATCATTGAGGAACGTCAGCAGTCAAGACAGGAGGAACAAGAGGTAATCATAGTGAAAAACCAAAACAATTCATATCTTGGCAAGATTGGTATACAAGTGGTTGTCAAGAACAAAAATTCCAACATCAGCCAACTGAAAACAAAAGGTAAAAGATGACATTCATGGGTCTTTTTCCTTTTACTCTGTGCAAAATGCTGTTTCACTTTTTCTAAATGAGAGAGGATTGTTTGTACACTATGACACGACATACAAAGCACTGTGTGCCCAGGATGCTGTGGGGCACCAGTGGCACCTCTCGCTGACTACTCCACCACTGTGAGCAGAGAATCCAAGCAGTCAGAGGATGAACGTAACCTCTCCTGGCTGGAGAACCATTTGTTGCCACTTTGCTGCTGAATTCATACTCATTAAACTGCTCAAAGTAAAGCTCTACTCTGATTTCTAAGAATCTATAGCACTTATATATAACACAATTATACATAAAGACCATTGACTAAGAGGACAAAAGCACATGAACCCTTCCTTCAGAGAATTCAACCAAGAGAATGGGTGGGATAAGCTGGGGGCCAAAAGGAAGGACAATACTGCAGGTTGGACTTCAAGGCTCTCAGGAATATTCTCTACCATCTAAAATCAACAGCAAAGCCAGAAAAGAGGGCAGGAAGCTCTAACCATAGAAGAGAACAACATGAAACAGTTAATAAAGGGATCTCTTCCTAACACACACTCCTTCCTGTGAGGCTCAACCATCAGTGCAGGGCTTGGTGATGTGGACAATGTGGACACCACAGCCCTGAGTCAAACTTGGTCTGCCACCTTTGATTCCCCGTGCTGCAAAAAAAATTGCAACGCTGTCATGTCCTGGCACTGTGGTAATGGCTATGTCCTATTTCACTCACGCTGGTCCCTTTAAAGTCTCCCTTCTTCAACCTAAATGCTCCCAGGGGCCCTATATACAGTGAGGGTCTGGATGGATGATCCATGTCAACTAGTACTTAAAGCAGGAGGACTTAAACCTGATCAATTCTATTCTGTAAAACAGCAACCATCAGTGAGTCAGAGGTGTCAAGGAGGGCTCTGTGAAGAGAAAAGACTAGACTGGGATGTGTGAGAGGGCGGGATGGGAAGTCCCATCCCTAGCAGCCTGCAGGAGTGACTCTGGCACAGAATTCACAGCCAGCCCTAAATAATGCTGGCATGGGGCTTGGGGAGGAGGTATCTGCTTGGTGTTCAAAGTACTCACAAGGTCTGGGGCTGGACCTCTGTGTCACTCCTGAAGCCCAACGTACCTTTGCAAGAAACAGGTATGGTTCTTGTCTGTTAAAGTGCAAGAACTGCTTTCTGAATTTATTTGATAATAAAGCTACACCATAGAAAAGAAGAACCTCAAGAAAACGTGGGATCACCACACGGGCTTTACCAGTGCTAGCTGCCTATTTTGGAGTATTAGTTATAACCTTTCATAATTCTGAGAGTTGCAATGTAGGCTATCTAGGGCAGTCTGAAGAGTCCTGCTGTCAATTCATGGAACATAAGAGAAAAAGGAGGAATTACCAAGGTTGTGATGGGTTATCCATTCCGGAAATTTCTCAGCCACACTGTCCAAAAGCAGAGAGCCTAGCTTATGTGGACAGTAGAAGGTGACTGTGTGGGCTCTCCATCATTATCCACAACAGGAATGACTCAAGCTCCAGCACATATCTCTTAGGGATTTATTGAGTTATACAAATAAAAAGAAACAAAAAAGCACATTGGAAAGGGCCTCTTCACTTAATACAAACTTGGCCACGGCACCCAAATTTATCTTTATGCAAATTTCACACTGCTCCTAGTAGCCCTTATAGCATCTGATTCTAAGTCATTCTGAAGGAAAAAGACATTCCTTCTGAAATAGAGCTGATTAGGATAATTCATCAGAATTCTACTCGATATAATTAAAAGGTTAAAAAAGTTTTAAATACAAGCTAAATTACCTTCCTCTGGGATTAACAATTGGAACCCCAAATATCCCAACATCTTAACAAGAAAGGCCTTCGCAGTAATTCTATGAAATTGTAAATAATGCCAGTTTTTTAAAACAGAGAGTTGTTGATCTTTACGATGAATGCCTGAGTTAGCTGACAAACGCCATATATATATGAATATGTCCAAGTAGAATTCCCTAAAGAGAGAAATAATCTTCTCTAATTTCAAAAAAACCAGCTTCTCCTTTAGAGTTTAAAAATTGATGGGTTCAACGGCAAAGCTATGCAACAACTCTGAAGTAAAAGGAAAGGGCTCTCTTTGTAGTATAACCTCTTGCCAGCATACTGCCATTACCAGGTAGGGACAACTGGAAACAAATGGCAGGAGTTGTCCAAGAAAGTATCTGGATTAGATAAAGCAATGTCAACCTTCCAGACCCTGGCTCCTTCTAAACGGATAACAATTCATTCATGCAAACTGCACAGAGGTTAAACAAACCAAAACCCACTAAAGAAATTAAAAAACAAAACCCCCAACCCAGAAAACCTTTCCTGGATCTCTACTACAGGTAAAATGTGCCAAACCCTAATTTTCTTTTCTAACATGGGTCTCATTGCCCTATCAGTCTGCTCTAGGGTGCTGACTTACTGGTCCTGGGTAGGGCCTTTGTGTAAACATCCTGGGCAGGGCCTTTTCCTAAGCATCACTGTGGGTGTGAAGACAGCTATGTGTGCAGCTGTTAGTAGGCAGTACAATGCCACTGGACCACAGACGTCCATCTCATCTGCCTCTATTTTTCACTGTAAAACCAAAGGCTGCAATCGTGAATAAATGTGGACTTTCTCAAAGGACAAATGAAGAGATTGAAGGCTACAACATTTCCTCCTTTGAGAAAGATTGGAAGAGGTGTCTACAGTTATACAGATTTCTGCAGACCTTGTGGTAATTTCCAAAAGCAACAGTAGCAGCAAGAGAGGAGAGGAGGATGTTTACACTTTGGACTTTGTATCAGGCACTTAAATTGTTGGAGAGACATGCCATTCTGAACCAAAGATGTAAAAACTGGGTTGGAGTAATCATTACAAGTGGTCTAATAATGGGCTTTCAGAAGCAAAGTGGAGGTGTGGGTTGAACCTCTGCCCATCCTTTAGTGCTGACTTTCAAGTTTTCTAAATGCCCATAACCACAGCAATGGCAGCAGTGGTGGCAACAGCAGGAACGGTTCTGTCGTGTCTGTTTTCTGTGTTCTGTGGCTGACCGGAAGGTTTTGGTGTCACACTGAGAAGGCTCTGGGGTGTGGCACACCTATTGCCCAGGGTCAATTAGATCCATGCTGGAGCCAAACATCTTCACTAGTTGTTCCTCGTAGTGTGAGATGTTCCTCTTCATGATGTCCATGCAGGGCCCCAGAAGCCTCTCAAATGCTTGTACATCCATAACTGCATTGTTAAAAAGAGGTGAGGGAGAGAATCAATTCTCTAAAAATTCAAGTCATTTCCATCATGAAAACCTTTTCCTAAATATACCCATTCATGTAGAAGATCAGACTTTGGGACACTGGGCACTTGGAAAAAGAGGTGTTTCTATATGAACTCAGTAGGAGTGGGTCATGTAAGTTTGAGACTTCACATAGTCAAGCAGCACCTGATCACCCTGTTTCCCCCGCCCCACAGGAACATCTGCCTCCATTACTATTCTTTTCATATGGCCAGAGGGCCTGTATGCCTGTCTTGCTCATAGGATGTAGTCAGTGCTCAGAAATGTTTGCTAAAAGAATACATTCACCCTTCTCTGGTTGGTCACATAAAAGGTCCAGGCCAAGATGCGAGTTAAGAGCTGATGGAGTAAGTTAAGGCTTGCTGATGGGAAAAAATAATACTGCAAGCTAGAAAAAGTACTAATGCATAAAGAATTTTTCTTACCTAAGCATTTGACATCTCCAACTGCATAAGCTGAAGCAGCTCTGGGTTTGTTTGTGACGAGTGCAAGCTCTCCAAAGTACTGCCCCTTATGGCAGCGGGCAATCTCGACCTCCTGGTTCCCACCATCCTTGTTTGTTTTAGTCTACAGCAGGTAAAGAACATGACCTGGGTTGACTTCACGATCACAGCTGGGCATATTCAGGGGCACACTCTTGTATTCCCTTCTCAGCACAATCAACACAATTACTGAGGAATTCACTTTGCAAAAACGCTAATGTACTATGTAAACTCCACAGACTGATGTCAGTGGTCTTGCTCAATTAGAGGAGTTGGCTTTTACCTGGGGCTTGAGTCCTAACATCTTTCAGGTAATGGCTAAATATCAAGAGGTAAGGTGCATATCATTTTCTGTGGAAGATAATATATTCTTCTGGGAGATGCTGACTTTGAGGCACAGTGGAAAAGACAATGTCTTTTGCTAATTCTTTCTAAATAATGACAACGCTTCCCTTAGGTAATAAGCCACAACCTTGGGCTATTTCTCTCCGATTTGAGATTGTGCCTTTCTTGGACAACACTTTACAGTGACAAAATTTCTTATTAAGTACTATCTGTACCTTAAGTTAGTGGTTTCCCCTCCCATTTTTTAGAAGAAGACTTAAGTAAATAATTTTTAAAAATAATATACTACATTGTATTTAATATCTACAGTTTCCTAATTTTTTAAAAAACATCCATCTTCTAAACAATAATTTAAGTAAAAATTATTTAGAATTTATTGGTAAGAATTAGAATTAGTCTCAATCTCTAAGAACCATTTTATGTTATAGGCAGAAAGAGAATTCTTTTTTAAGGTTAATTTTTAAAATAAATAAAACTGCTATACTAGCAGTGGGCCTTCCTTCCACACTGACCTGTTTGTTCTGAAACCTAAGCCAACTTTCTCTTTCCAATTTCTGTAAGCATTTTCTGGGACTGCAGACTTTCATGCCACTTAGTCCCTTCTCTAGAGTAGCACTTATCATACTGTCACACACTCACCAGCTCCCTTACAATGCAGGTTTTCTTACAATGCAGATTCTGACTCAGTAGATCTGGGGCACAGCCCAAGTCTCTGCATTTCTGACAGCCCCCCCAACTCCCCAGTTCCATGCTGTTGCTGACTCCACACACCTAGCACTATGTATGCTGTGATCATAGTAGATTTCAATGAATATCTGAGAAATGTACAAACATACACCCAAAACTAGTAAAACAACACAGAAGTTTCAAACTATTATTTCATGTGAAACAATAGATCTATTTTTAATTAAGAATCAAGCTATCTTATAGACCATAATCATATTTTTCTTTCTTTCTCCATATTAACTTTTACTAAATATATATGAAGGAAGGAAGGGAGGGAGGGACAGATGGAGGAAAAAGAAAGAGAGGAAGGGAAATATGGTGATGATGAATTTACTGGCAAGAATCACTCCTACTTACAGGTTATCAGTTTTCTAGGTCACCTCATCCATCAAATGACCATAATAATAATTGTCCTTGGAGGCCTTGTCAGCAGTGTTCTAAAAAGGAAGCTTTCTTCATATTTACCCCATATGCATTTTTTTTATTATACAATTTCCCCACTTTCTATTAAGGTTTTTATCTTTTTCTTATTTATTTGTAGGCCAATGTTCCTCATATCATTAATTACATAACAGAGGCAAAGGCAGTAGGAACAAGAAGAAATATACTAAATCTGTATCAATGGATGGGCTTAAATATGAGTCTTTGCCAGTCACATACTTCATATAACAATGATGGTCTGGTGCACTAAACACACTTCACATTACTTAAACAGTTACTTTCTGTGTATACATCTAGCTCTTTATTGCATAAGTCACACCATCATACATAAGCTCACCTTGCTTCTAATCAAAATGCTCACTTCACCGGACTCTATGATGTAAAAGCTATCAGCCTTTTCACCCTGAAAGAAGAGAGGAAGTCAGGTCAGAGCCATACAAAGTGTTTAAGCGGAATACAGAAATAGGTTGTTTTCTTACTGTTTGAGCTCTGATTTGCATTTATTTTCCAACTCTACAAATTAATCAATAGCTAACAAATTCACAACAAAACACGAGAATCCTGGTCACTGGGGATATCAACCCAACTAAGACTAATACGTCTCACACCTATTAACATGGAATATTCAGATTTATCTTCATGAATATGCCAGGTTGCCAAATACACGGAGCATTGCTTTTCTGATTGTGCACATTGGTCTGCTACTGCAACCTCTGACAGGGACTAGTAGCCAAGATTGCTGAGGACAGTGTCAAGGTGACTCCTGTCTACCTCCTGGTATATGGGGTCCAGAGATAATCTTGACCATCAAACACAGCTCTCAACAGGACAGCATAGATCTAGAAGCTCTGCATTGGTGAGGGAGGTGCTATGATATTACCCTTATGAGCCTCAGGCTTTTCCTTTGCTTATTTTGATTTTAAATGTGGCTGAAACAGTCATTCAGGTAATTAACAAATAATTTACTAAGTACTTACTATGTGCCAGGCACTGTTCTAGGCATGTGAGATATATCTATCAGTGGGCAAAACAAATATCCCTGTACTGCCCTTATAGAACTTACAGTCTGGCAGGGTAAACAAACTATAAACAATCAACATATTCAATCAGTAAATTATACTGTTGACTTGCAAGGTGATGAGTGCTACAGGAGAAGAGTAAGCAGGGAATATGAGTGTTAGGGGAGGGGTGGCTTCCATATACAACAGTGCTTCATTGAGAAGGTGAGCTATGAACAAAGGCTAGAAGGAGGTGCAAGTTAGGCAAGCAGGTACGGGAGAAGAGGCTTTTAGGCACACTTCAGTTTCTGACCCCTCAACTATTAACTTCTAAAGCAATGACCATCTACATTAGATAATTCAATACTAATCATGTGTTCTTATTCCACGTAGGTCTTATGTCTTCAGTGAGAATCTATATTCCTCTAAGCACTAGTAAGACTTCATGTCCTTTGACAACCACACAGAGCCCCAAGTGGGCACTATACACAGCTGATGTTCCTGAGTTAATCTGGTCCCAGGATATTTCAATGCCCTATGTTGGGAGTGAAAGCCACAGCTTTATAAGGGAGAGGTACTTTTAGGTACAAGAAGGGAGTTTCATAAAGGAAGATGTGGTTAACAGTGTTCAGTGCTCCTGGGAGGTCAAGAGTTAAGATTCAAATGTGCAGAAAGATACTAGTGACCAAGAACAGTGAATGGCAGGAAAGATCTGCAGAAGTGACAGGTGGTGAAGGATGGTGCTTTAGCCCTTTTTGTTTTGACAGATGTATAACATCCATAATTTAAAGTGCTCAAATGTCAAAGCTACAGCTTGGTGAATTTTTACATATGTATAAACCTGTGTAACCACCTCCTACCTAGATCAAAACAGAAAATACTTCCATCCTCCAAAAGGCTCCCTCTGGAGTTCTCAGTCAAAACCACCACAACGCCACCCATGAGGTAACTATATCTAATCCTGTCCTCATACATTAGTTTTGGCTGTTCCTTAACTTCAAATAAGTAGAATCATACATTTTCTTTTGTGTCTGGCTTCTTTTAGTCCACATTATTAGACTATACTTTGAAAGTGCCTGGTTGTAAAAGGAATTTTTTGAGACAAGGTCTTGCTATATAGTCTACACTAGTCTCTAACTCCTGGCCTCAAGGGATCTTCCCTTCTCAGCCTCCCAAGTAGCTGGGGCTATAAGATCATGTCACTGCACCAGGCTAATTTTTATTTTTAGAGACAGAGTCTTGCTAAGTTGCCCAGGTGGCTCTTGAACTCCTGGCCTCAAAGAAACCCACCACCTTGGCCTCCTGAGTAGCTAGGATTAAGGCATGAGCCACTGTGCCTGGCTTTTGAAACAAATCAGAAAGGTTACTAGCTGGAGTAGAAACAAAGTGAGGGGAGGAGTATATACGAGTTTTTTGAGGACAGGAGAGACTCAAGTATGTCTATAGGGTAAGAAGAATAAGCCGGTGGTAAGAATGAGCAAGGAAGCTCATATAAAATAGAATCTGCTGATGCTGGTGAGTGCTCACTCCCAGCAGACACTCTGGTGAGCACTTTATGTGTATCACTTCATTCCATTGCCAAAGAAGTCTAATAAAGTAGGTACTATTACTGCCCTCTTTTACAAATCAGTTTCTTCAGAAGCTTGGAGGATAAATAACTTTTCCCTAGGAGGTAGAGTGAATAGCTGGTAGATTCAGGATTGACAGGAGATGGGAAAGAATGTCACCTAGAACATATGAAGAACAAATAGGTGAGGCTAGGAAATAGCTCCTCTCTTCCTCTGGACCAAAGGAAGACAGTGAAAGGACTTGGTCCATTACATTTTATTGCATTGCTAATACTTCACTAGAAAGGATTAGGATAGCTCAAAACAATGCAAGAAAATGAAATTTAAAATGAAACCATGGTGGTATGATGACACCAACAGTTGAAAAACAGTCTATATGGCATTTGAAGGAGGCATTGTTTTACACTTCCAGACTCAAGAAACTGCCTGAGTAGGCTAGGACAGAGATGGGCCAGGACACCTATTTCCTGTCTTTCTTATAGTCCAGTGGTGGGTATTCTGTGTAAGTTGGTTGTTCAGGCTTTGTAGGACTTGTATATTTTGTAGGGTAGATAGTGTAGAATAGGACTACCCAGTTGGAAAAAACAAGAACTCACTGGAAGAGTATTCTGCTTTTCAAGTTCTCAAGTCCACTAACAGGCTCTAGGTACACATCTCACAGAAAGAACACTGCACTCTACATTCAGGAGTAAAGAAACTAGACTGTACTGCATTTTATATCTTTGTGAACATATCATCAGGTGCTTCAATAAAGAGTTTATGAATGTCTCCTGTGTACCAGGCACTGAAAAAGTTATTATCTGTAGTGATTTGTTTTTTTTGTTTGTTTTTTTTCTTTTTTGAGACAGAGTCACTTTGGATAGACAGTGGCATCATCATAGCTCACTACAGCCTCAAACTCTTGGGCTCAAGCGATCCTCCTGCCTCAGAATCCCGAGTAGTTGGGACTACAGGCACGTGCCACTATGCCTGGCTAATTTTTCTATTTTTAGTAGAGACAGGGTCTCACTGTTGCTCAGGCTGGCATAGTGAATTCTGAAATTTACTAGGCTTTAACAAATAAATGTCTCTTTTCCACAATAGATAAGATCCATATTCGACCACCATAAGAATGACCAAAGCCCTAATTTTCAGAGCATGGAATCTTTTTGGTTTAATAAAATGCTACTTTAATACTAAACACACAAAACATGATGTTGTAAAGTATAAACCAACTTATGTCCACATTATTCTGAATATAAGCAAAATAATCTATCAATTAGGAAAATTATTTGTGCAAATTATGCAAACCATTAAAAAGAACATAAAATGGGTTTGATGAACTTGAAAGAACTTAGTAAGATAAACTCTCAAGGGGACAACTGGCTAGGGGTTCACCTGACAGCAAAGGTATGGTCTGGGGAACATCCAGAGACAAGCCAAGGTATACACTAGGATCTCACCATCCCCTGCAACTGGCAGTAACCCTAGCACTCTGGGAGGCTGAGGCAGGAGGACTGCTTGAGGTCAGGAGTTCAAGACCAGCCCAAGCAAAAGCAAGACCCCGTCTCTACTAAAAACAGAAAAAATTAGCTGAGTGTGGTGGTGCGTGCCTTAGTCCTAGCTACTTGGGAGCCTGAGGCAGGAGGATCACTTGAGCCCAGGAGTTTGAGGTTGCTGTGAGCTAGGCTGACACCACAGCACTCTAGCCCTGGCAACAGAGGTAGACTCTGTCTCACAAAAAAAAAAAAGATTAGGCCGGGCACGGTGGCTCACGCCTATAATCCTAGCTCTCTGGGAGGTTGAGGCGGGCGGATTGTTTGAGCTCAGGAGTTCGAAACCAGCCTGAGCAAGAGTGACACCCCGTCTCTACTAAAAATAGAAAGAAATTAATTGGACAACTAAAAATATATAGAGAAATTAGCCAGGCATGGTGGCGCATGCCTGTAGTCCCA